GGAGGCGGCGCGGCCGCCGGGCTCTGCGGGTTCTGCGGCAGCGAGGGGCTTCGCGCCCGTCCGCTTCGTAACCCGGAGCCCCTTGCCTTCACCGGGAGGCAGGGCCAGGCCGGGCTTGAAATGTGTCGCTGCTTTGTAGAGCCAGACACGAACACCAGGACGTGGGAGGGACAAGGCCTGACGGAGGGAGAGCTGCGGCACTGACGAGGAGTGGGTGAACCAGCCGGGAAGGCCTTGGCCGGGGCGCTGCAGTCAGGCTGCTGCTGCCGTCGAGCGAGCGTGGAGTCACTTTGTGGCTGATCAGTTTGTGATTCACCACAGTTCGCTAGGAAGTTTGATCAGGGGGGTGCGTGCTAGGCAGCGTTCTAGGCTCTCTTCCACTCTGCTTGCACAGCATTCACTTGCCGGGAGCTCTGCTGAGCACGTGTTCCCAAATTAATTTGCCTCTTCAGGCAACCACTGTCATTTGGGATTTGCTCTGGGATAAACAGACCCAGGTCTTTCAGTGCAATATAGTCACACTTGCTTTCCCAGATGCCGTCCTGCAGGAGAGCTTCTTTAGAGATCAGGCAACAGTTAACCCAGTATGTATTGTTGCTACTAGAACAAAAATGCAGCTATGTGGGATTGGAATTGTATTCTGCTAACATACCCATCCACCCTCCTCAGACGGGTGATGGCAAGCTCAGCGTAGGCATGTACACAGGACAGCGCGGTAAAAAGGCACAGGCTTCCCCCTTAAGAACCCCTTTTTGCTCTCCAGCTACACCAAGACTTGCTCAAGGAAAGCAAATAAACCATCATTTGCTTGTGTCACCTGACTAGGAGATAAAAGCTTGTCACTATGTAGCTTCTCAGAAGGCTATACTGTGCTAACTCCAGCTAGAAAGATTGGTATCTTATAAAACTAATGCTTTTCGGTTTTCCTGTCCCTTTTATCTATGGAGCCAAAGAGTCTTTCAAAACTAAATTACACCTAGAGTACCATAGCGCTGTTAAATAAGTGCTATTCTGTTCCACTTCTATTGATACAAACTAAGGCATGGAGATTTTTTTTGCGACTTTGTGATGGTAAATCTGGGGCTTGCTTTTCTACTCAAATGACATCAAACCTCTCATCAGTAGGAACTGATTCCTAAATCCTTGCTCTATAGGGCTCTTAACAGCACTCAGTGGTTATGAAAACACAGGACACTGAGGAGGCCATGCCTCATTATTAGGAATGTCCTAAGCACAGATAAATACCTTCAGTATTGTATAATGCACAAATATAGGCCTGTATTTCCCTATGTGTTTTGTTGAAATGATTTGAATTAAGAGATTTAAAGCAACAGATCATTGCTATAAAATGCTATGCATAATGAAACCACATGTGCAGTATACTTTCAGGTCTTTAATTTGTTAGGAGCTAAATGTTTATTAGAATATGGCACAGTTAATACTCCCTACAGTCACCTTGAAAATTAAATACCCCTTTTACAACACAAAGATAGTGTTATATGGCAAGATAAGGTGGTTACCAGAATTCAGGAATGACAGAATCCAACTAATTTAACATGAATTAATGCAAGATCAAATTTATTACGGTTGGATGCAATTTGTAAGTGAAAGTTCCATTAAAGTGCACGTTTTTACATGTTATGTCCCATTAATAAGAGACCTCAGAAGAGCAGATTCTCCATTTTGAACAGCAGCAATGTATGTATTGTATCACAAATAACTCCTTAAATGTTTGCTGTGAGCAGCTTCAGAAACCAAGAGTGCAGTTGTGCACCAGGGGCTGTGTTCTTGCTCTTTCTCACAGGGGGCCATGACTGAGGCTTAAACAGAAACCTGGGCTTCATTTTCTTTGGCTGCTTTGCTGGGCTGCCCCTGCCTTGTTACTTGTTCATCCCTTTTACCATTTTCACTCCTCTAGGGGATCACCCCTCTTCTTTTTTTGGGTGGGAGGGTGAAATCAACCCTCTAGTCAAATAAACCTTTCAACCTCCAATCTTCAAAATAAACACTTTTATTGTGGACAGTCCAAGCTCCTTAGGTAAAGCTTTAGGTCTCAAATCCAAAAGATACACTGTGTCCTTTTAATAATTTCATAGTGGAAACCCTTTATTTGCCCATTCCTGTGGTGTTATGGAGGTTTTCAATGATTCTGGTTTAGGTTTCGGGATTAGGTGAAACCAGAGTGCCTTAAACCTCTTTAGAGGTTTGGGATTAGGTCTGCATCAGGCCTAATATAGCCTTTCTGTGTAAGGCTAAATTAAATGGCAGGAATATTTGTTGTGCACTGATTCACAGGTGTTTGGCAAAATACCAGAAAACATAAAGGAACCACTGGAAGAATCATGAAGGCAAAGCCATCGAAACATGAGTATTAGCTAAGTACTGCAGTATCACTTGCAACTGTGGGGTCTTTCAGACTGCTTCTAAGTGATTTTAAGCATGGATATCATTTTTATGTGTCTCTTTCACATGAATGTGAGTAAATTGAAGATCTTTCGTGCAAATGGATCATGGATTTTTATTTGGGTATCACATTCTGGTAATCACTGCCTATTTTATAGCAAATGTATATTAAAGTTCGTCAAACAGCTGATATCACTGAAGCTCTATTGTTTTATTGTACACATAAATTCTACTCCTTCTCTGGGGTATGCATTGCCCTGACAGTATGCTATGTCATGACGAGAAAAGCACAAAGATTTATGCCTATTATTAAAACACCACCCTGTCTGGCCCAGGAGGCAGAGACATTTGCCTCTTTGATGACCCTGGACTAATTGGAGGAGATAGTTTCGTTGTGTAGGCTGTCTACTGTGAGGCTTTTCAGCACTTTTCACTGTCTTTGTCTCTAGTAGGGATGTTTTTCTATGTGCTCAGCTCAATGGTTTGTAATACTGGCAAGGCCTGACTAACTGGCCATACCCCTAAGGTGCTGTCTGAGCTGAGCAGATTTCATCAGGCAGAATGAAGAGCAGCTCAGCACTGTAGTCTCAGGATCTCTGCATTTGTAGGGAAAAGCTGAGCTTTATATGCATGGCCCTGGTATCAAAAGGAGCCAGATACGTAGTTATGGGGAGGTGATGCACAGAGTCCAATGAGTTAGTTCCTACAGTGTCCCAAATCAGTCACTACCTGAGCATAACTATTTCCCCATATCAAAGCATTCCCTTCACTGATTATGTGCCTGTCAGTCCTCTCTGGAAAAGTGTCTTTTGAATACATTTCTCTCCCCAGATAGACAGATGTCTATTTCAGTTGTAGTCTTGCCTGTATTTAGCAAGTTGGCTCCCTGTCAGAATTATTGGGCTTCTCTGTAGTTCTTTTCCATATCAGCCATCAGTTCTCTTGCAGGCACAGCTTTTTTGCATTCCTATAGAAAGCCTTATGATCAGCAGTGTATACAGCCAGATCCTGTATTCTCATGTCTGCTTGCAAAAGTGAAACAGAAATATTTAAGTTTGAAAAGAATATGTCCCCTCTAATCAGATGAGCTGTACAAGAGGGAGGCTAACCAGAAGGATTTAATAATCTTTGAATCTGTATAGAACATTATTTATGGCTTAAGAGCTACACAGGGCTTGAGTTTTAAATGTAAGTTCTTTCCCTCTTTAATGGTGCATGTAAGGAAGAACAAGAGAGAAATGTTCCAGTCAAGGACAAAATCATAAAATAATGAGCAGAAAAATAACGAACTGAAAGTATTAGTGGCCAAGGGAGGCTGAGTGGGAGTTTGTCTTCATACATGATTGATCTAAACTTGAAAAGAAAAAAATAAAAGACTCCTCATCCTTAAATGAGATGGTTATTTGAGCATAAATAACAGTCTCATGTCAAATATGCTGCTATTTCCAATGAAGTCTTTTCACTACAAAACCACAACATTCCCAGCCCTAATCTCCTCAGATAAAACAATACGGCTGGTGGCTGTGAATCAGCACTTTGAAACCGACCTTTGAAAATAGCAACACGTTCAGGGTGAAAAGAAATGGAGGAGACAAAGAGCTGCTGTTTATAGAGCTCTGCAAAGTGAGGCCCCACCTTGCTTGCTTGGAAACTGCTGTAACACCCAAGAATTGTTTTTCTCTCTGGGTGGGAAGTCCAGCTCCATGCAGCTACCTCAAGGGACTGGGGCTATTAATGTATCTGTGTGTTTAGTCCCACACCAGGCCTAGCTGTCACTGAAACCAGGAGCAGTGAAACACCAAAATCCTCCTGGATGCTTGAGCCTTGGATTAGATTATCTTTCAGAACAACAAAGAGCTCTGACCAGAAATCTGAAGGGTTCTTGCATTTTTTGGAGCTCATGGAGGGGGGTGGGTCATCCCAGGCAGAGAGAGGGGGAAAAGGGGCATGACAACATCAAATGGAGATTTGCTCAGCTCCAGCCCGGGAGGAAGGATGCAGTGAGAACGCACAGCTGGGCGCTCTGTGCCAAAATGTGTGCTCCTCCTTTCCCAACCCATTTGCAGCCACATGGCCATGGCCCCTCCCTTGTGCTGACCCTAGCACTCATCTGAGGAGCATCAGGACTGATGCAAGGCAGAGCATGGTATCAGGAAAGGAGAGGGCCTGGGAGGGAAAGCCATCACACTGGAAGAGACCTGCCCTGAGCGGTGGCACCAAAAGGAGCTGGCCAGCTGGGACACAAAGGTTTCCATCCAGCAAATGACACCTCACCTTAAGCAGGAAGCTCACTTCCCTTCACAGCCAGTGAGGAAAAACAGGCTCTTAACTACATGGGAACACCCCCTTCACCTTTTTTCCAGTTTTTTACTGTTTCCTAGTGTAACATGCTTCGACAGCAAGCTTTGAAATCTAGAGATGCCATCCCATGGGAAGTGGAAAATAACTGTGGTCTCAGCACAGATCCTAGTACTGCTGTGCTCTGACTGGGAAGACCTTGCACCGGTGGTGGGCGTCATCCTACATCCACA